AAAGTAGTCAGAGATTTAAAGATCAATTAGTTCCAAATATTGTTACCATTTGCATTCATCTATCTGTATACATCGAGATTTTCTCAATACAGAAATACATTGACTAGTAAGGTGCTTTAGGATTTTCTACATATACAGTCACATCATATATGAATAAAATCAGTTTTATTTCCTCCTTCCCATCTATATGATTTTATTTCTTGTTCTCGTATTATCGTGCTATTTAGGAAATTCCATTGTGACACTGAATTAGAAGTAATGACAGCAGATATCTTTACTTGTTCCCAATCTTATAGGAAAAGCATTAAGACTTCCACAAGGAAGTAGTTAGCTATAGGCTTTTATAGATGCCCTTTACCAGGCAAGGAAGTTCCCTTCCACTCCTAGTTTGTTAAGAGTCTTTTGTTGTTTGTTTGTTTGTATCACAAATGGATATTGAATTTTGTTAATATCTTGCATCTATTGAGATGCTCATATTTTTATCTTCTAGGATATGTCAATATGGTAAATGTATTAATTAGGTCTTTGAATATTGAACAATCTTTTCATTTCTGGGATAAACTTTACATGGTATACTTCTAGATTAAATTTGTGCATATCTTGTTGAGAATTTTCGAATCTATGTTCATAAAGGATATCAGTCTTTAGTTTCTTTCCTTATAATATCTTTGTCTGACTTTAGTATCTGGGTAATGCCGACCTTATAAAACAAGATGGAAGGTGTTTCTTCCTCTTCTATCTTCTGAAAGAGTTTATGTAGACTTGTTAGTTTTTTTTAATAAATCCCACATATCCTTCAGTGACTGGATGTAAAGTTATCTCATCCATGAAGGCTTGCCCAGTCCTGCAATACTGTCTATAACTTAAAATAATAATAATGTTAAAATAATAATATTGTTAAAATAATAATAATAATATTGCATGCTTATGATGTCACAGGTCCTATAAACGTTTATCATTTATTACGGTATATAACCTTCCCAGCAGCCCTGTGAGGAAGGTATTGTTGTTACCTCTTTACAAATGGGGAAATCAAGGCTCAGAATTGTTAAATAACTTGCCCAAGGTCACACATTCTTTTATCTGAACTTGATTTTTTTACTGAGTGCCTACTAAATTCCAGGGTGCCAGGAATTGGCCCCACCACGCAGCCTGCTCCCTTAGCCTCTCTATCAGTGCTTCCCAAAACATGGCCCTTGCCTCACCGGCACCTAGAAGCTTGTTAAAATGCAGATTTCCAGGCTCCACCCCAATCCTCTACAGTGGAACCCCCCCACACCCCCCCGTCCCCGGCGGCAGGGGCTGGAGGCAGGGTGGAAGCAAGAATGTACATTTTAATAAGCACCCAGATGACTTTAGTGCACACTGCTACTCTCAGAGTAGCTCTTAATTGCATTCTGCCTTATGTTAATAACTGTTTGCCAATTTCTCATCCATCTAACTAGACTGCAAACTCCCAGCAGGACGTGCCGTTCAGTGAGTCCTGGCACCGCCTCACAGCCACGTGCAGTACCTTGCCCACAGGCATTGTCCAACAGGCATTTACTGAACTAGAATAAAAACAATTTCGAACCTTGAGTGCTCACCCCCATCCACACTCAGGGTCTCCATAGGTCTCCCGAATGTGTCCTAAATCCCCCGTGAGGCTTTAGGAATAAGCACTAACTGGCCCAGGAGCACAGACAAGGTCCTCTTCATCAGAGCTGGAAGGATCTGTAGAGACAATCTCTTCCACCTCCTTAAACTGATGCAGAAATCAAGGCTAGAAAGGAGAAATGACTTGTCCAATGTCACACAATTACCCCAAAGATGAGAACCAGCATTTAAGTGTCCTCACTCTCAGGGCCAGGCCTTCCCCCTTCAAAGCAAGGCGAGGAGGAATGCGTGTTCCATGGAGGGGACCTCCTGCAGGAGCTGAGCTGTCCCAGGACTCTCATTTGAGTTGACAGGAAAGCAAGAGCTCAGTGGAGAGGAGAAAAATGTTTATTTGAATTCACACCAGAACTCCCAGACAGGGAAAGAGGGAACGGTGAGAGGAAGGGTGTCCCAAGTACCCCCAGCATCATGAGAATATGAATATTTAGCACAGTTCTCTGTAGAAATAGAGCTCATAAAATCCTCTGCCTGTGCCCACGTCCTTTTTGAAGCCCAGGACCTAACAAGTCGATTACCAAAGTGGTGGAAGAGGGGCAGAGGGTTCTGGTGGGAGGAGTGCGACCCGAGTACTGGACTATTCTGCGACACTTGGGAGGGAAAGGAGAGCCCCTCTCCAGAGGTAGCCGCTCACTCTGTTACCTGCTGAGAGCCGGATCTCTGGCATGCCTCGGGCCTGCATCCCCCTGAGCTAATAATGTCCCCGGCTAATTTTGCTGCTGGAGTCCAACACAAAAGTAGTGTATCTCTGAGCAGATCTGAGAAAAGAAGGACTGTGGTGTCTTAGGTGGGGTTGGCGTGGGGAGTTGGGAACCACAGAAGGGGTTGGAGGCTCAGACCACTGACAATCTCAGGAATTAGAGCCACTGGGAATAAAAGCTACCACCTTTCCTGCCTCTCCTCTTTTCCCCTCAGGTATTCAAAGAGCTCAGGGTTCCCGAAGCCTTTGAACAGTGCATGAATGGAGAGGCGGAGGCCTGGTTTCTCTGTCCTCCCTGGGCCTTACCTGCTTTCTCACCTAAATCAAAAGCTCAAATTCAATGACTGCTAAAGCTCCCTTCCAGCCCCAAATGTCTGGGATACTAGTCCCAATTTGGGGTTGTGTTTGTGCTTGCAGGATGTGTGCACCCTAAAACAGCCGGGCCCCCACACTTCATCTTCCCAGCCCGCACCCCCCGTCTCCACCCAGCCTCTCCACCCGGCCAAGGCCTGGGCAGTTCCCAGGGCCCTCCTCTGAGCAGCAGGTCACCCTGGAATGCTCGGCCTCACACACTGTCACCGTGCCGCCTGCAGCCTGCAGAGCTCTTCCTGCCCAGCAACCTCAACCCAGGCCTGGCTGGTCTGGAGGCAGGTGGAGGCATCTGTTCTCTGTTCTCAAAGCCACCCTGCAACCTCTGGGAGCATGAAGAGGGTCACGGACTCCACTAAGGCCTCACACATGCCTTTAAAGCTGGGGTGGAGTGAAAGACAAACAGGAGCCTCAGGATTTTTTTCTGAGTTGTTTTCAGCCACATCTGCCATATCTGAATACCACACCCGTGAAGCCTAACCCGACCCTACCTAAGCTACCGTCTCCCACTCCGGCCACTCCGGCCAGGCTATTGCCAACACCAAGGGCCCAGCCCCGCCTGCCCAGCCATTCCTGCACTCCCTGGGAGCCCCCGTCAGGGGACAGGGCCTTTCTGGGGAAGGGGCTTGTAATGAGCTGAGATGCTTTAAAGGGTTAATGAATAAAAAGGTATAATGCAATTATAGTTGCTAGGGAACTTTAATAAACGCTATTTACTTCTGTACAAAGCTTGCGGTTAGCAATTGTTAGAATTCAGGGCCTGATTGCCCTACGCGAAGTATGTCAAGGGTTCAACTTATGATCAATGTGTAACTGGAAGAATGTTCTGTGTTTAATCTATAACTTAGATTGTGCTTTACTTCAAAGATTGTAATCTGTCTTTGGGCACCAGAGATCTGTGAGAACAGCCATATCTCAGGACTCTGTGTCATTGAAATATTGATTGTACATCCTGCCTTTGTTTCCTTTGTTCTCAGAATACCTGTTCTATGTCACATAGCCTCCCTCAAATTGGTATAAAATTCCTGTAGAAGCTAAAGACTGGTGCCACTCTCTTGTACTGCTTTTACGCGGGCAGAGGTGGTCGCTGGCCAGCTAATAAAGACTCTCAATTTGGCTCCATTAAATTTTCTCGTGGTCTGTTCGCGCCCTCCACACTACAACAGGGCTGACATCATCCTCACACCCACAGGAGAAGGCCACTCAACTGGGACATCCCCAGCAAGGGCTCCTGGGGGCTGCTAGGCACGGGGAGGAGAAAGGTCCTTTATTTGCTGAGTGCAGTGGGACTGCTCTGATGGAAGCAGAGCTCTGTGGGACCACTTTACAGTCCTCCAGACACTCCCCAGGTGCTCTCCCTCAGCCTTGCTGGGAGCACCAGGGGAGGCTGTGGCTGCAGGGGCACGCGAGGCCATGACCTCTGTTGGGCAGCGGACAGCCTGGGTGACTGCCCAGGGGCCCAGCTTGTTTGCCCTGAGGACAAGTGACCTCAGGTCAAAGCTCTTGTCAAAAAGGAGCAGGGAAGTCTGTGGGAAAGTGCTTCTCAAAAAGAGTGGTTTTTCCCTGGAGAAAAAGTTTTCCACAAATCCTCCCATCCCCTTCCTGGCAATGCCACAGTCTGGTAAATGCTTTCTGAGAACCTCACACCCGTCCCCTGACTCCAGGGCTAGCCAGCTCCATCCTCCCGGAGGCAAACCCCCTGGCCCTCTTCAGGGAGACAGCCTCACCCTGGAGCCCTCTTTTATCAGTTCCAAACTCCTTTTTCTGTGGCCAACTGCTTCTGCCAAGGCTTGACATCACACAGACGCCACACAATGTGAGTTGCAAATGAAGTTTATTGTGCAGACACCCAGACCACAGCACTTTCAAAGGCAGAGTGGACAAAAGCAACTATGCACACAGAAACACTGTCCCCAGGCACGGCAGGGGAAGGGCACAGCCTTGGAGGTGGCATCAGCAGGCTGCCCTGCGGTCCTCAGCAGAACACCTGTCTGGAGGAGCACCGCCAAGCAGGCAATGCAAGGAGGGAGGCATGCGGGGGTGAGAGTGGGGCGCGGCTGAAAGCACAAACCTAGACAATGCAGATTCTTCCGCAGAACACAGCGGGTGTCACTGCTCTAACTAATTGATTTGGAAAGATCTTTCAAAAACTGTATGTGGGCATCCTTTTCCCCGAAATTCCATCAGAGGTAAATAATAAAATTTGACCTGCTGTCAGTTAGAGGTATAGAGACAGGCTTCTACATTCTGGAGTGGAAGAATCGGGGGGACCCCATCTTTATCTAAAAGAGAAGGTCACGCTGGAACCGAAACCTTCACCTGAGCCGGAACCACCCTTTACAGAGCCAGAGTCTCCCCCTACAGCTCCAGAGCCGCCTTTGGAGCCACCACCAGAGCCGTATCCTCCTCCAGAACTGGAGCCTCCTCTGGAGCCACGGCCAGAGCCGTATCCTCCTCCAGAGCCGCTTCCAGAGCCATATCCTCCTCCAGAGCTGGAGCCTCCCCTAGAGCCACCTCCAGATCCATATTTTCCTCCAGAGCCACTGCCAGAGCCGTATCCTCCTCCAGAGCCGGAGCCTCCTCCGCCACCACCTCTGGAGCTGGACCCTCTGCCTCCAGAGCCATAACCGCCACTTCCAGAGCTGTAGCCTCCGCCTCCTCCAGAACTGGACCCTCTACCTCCATAACCAGGGCCCCCGAAGCCAGCTTTGGATGCCACATTTGAAGAAAAGGTGCTGCTTGTCACGGCTGCAAAGAGAGATGGTGTTACTGCAAAACTTTTGACTTCCACCTGCCTCCACCCCATATGACAGGACCACACTCCATACTTACACACGGTCACGTTGCTGCTCAGGTCTCCAGACATCCTGTGAGGGAGAGAGAAAATACCGTGTGGCAGAGCCCTGAGGTTCTGTGTGCATGTTGTTTCACGACTTCCACCTACAACTGTGCAGTTTAGCCCCGAAAACCAGCCACCAGGGCTTCATGGATCCAACTTTCTTGTGTGCTGCCAGATCACAGACAGGGCGAGAGACCCCACATTTATGCACAGCCTTGCATCCCAATCCATCTCAGTTTTTTTTCTCTGTTAGAAAATGAAGAGTTGCATTGCTGATCCAAAGTGATTGAAAAGCAAGTTCACTTTGGACTTTGCAACCCACTTTTATATTTAAATCCATCTTAGGGAGTCTGTTATTCAGAATCCGTGACACGCCAGAGATGATGCAATGAGGCTGCACTGAGCATCCAATTCAGAACTGTGGCTCTGTACAGCCCCCTACTTCTCCCTGCTGCCCCGCCCTCCTCTGTGCCAACTGAACACTGTCCCCCTTTCTCTCACAAGCTGGAGCCAGGAGGCGTCGCCTCTCAGACAGGCACAGAGCAACAGATGCTCCCTTTGTCGTCCTGGCTTGCTGATGGCCTGGGGCAGCTCTTCCCTCTCCAGTTGCTTCAGCCAGATTAAGTTATCAAAGATGCAATAGCACTGACAAAGGTCTCCAAGGGTCCCTCTTTGAAGGTTAGCAAATGGTTCTCTTTGTCTCTCCGGAAACCTACACAGAACTAGGACTGTCATCTGTTCTGATAAGCGTGTGCCAGCTAGTCAGCTCGTTCCCACACACAGTCTCCCCTGCACACAGGGCAGGCAGAAGAGGCCACTCACCCTGCAGACCTAGAGACCAACTGCCAGACTGTCCAGGACTAACCTGTTTTCACTTTCAGAAAAGACCAGGATGTTTAGCATATTGCTTGATTTAATTTAATATGCCTTGTGAGTCATCTGACATTGGCAAATGTGCAACTCTACACTAAAGCTTTGTGTGCTGGGTTTCTGCTTGGGGAACATAGAGGACATCAGCTCTCAGCCACCAGAAGGCCCTGCCCGGTCCTCCGCCTTCCCCACCTTTGCTTCCAGCCCCGGCTCTAGGAGAAAGAAGGCAAACCAAAGTACCCTCGTCGCCTCCCAGTGCCCCCACCTGCACTCCTCGCCCTCCAGCAGCTTGCGGTAGGTGGCGATCTCCACGTCCAGGGCCAGCTTCACGTTCATCAGCTCCTGGTAGTCGCGCAGCAGCCGGGCCAGGTCCTCCCGGGACTGTTGCAGGGCCTCCTCCAGTTCGGTCAGCTTGTTCTTGGCGTCCTTGATGGCATGCTCCCCACGCTGCTCAGCGTCTGCGATGGCATCTTGCACACTCTTGCACTATATACAAGGAGAGATTTCTGTTTGTACAGAGGAGAGCCTGCCTGGCAGAGGGGGACAGGGAGCAGAGATGCTCAGAGTGTGGGAAGCCAGAATCACTGGCCCTGGAAGTATTGGGTCCCTGAGTTAATGCAAATCACAGACAACTGTGCTAAGACTTGCTGCTGTCTCTGGGGCATCCTCTTCCCAAGTCACCTTTGACTGGATCCCTAGGCTTTCCCCATAACATCCTTTGATCCTCACCACACAGGGCACAAATCAGCATCCCATTGTACAGATGTACAGGAAAACACTGGAAATGGACTGCTTTGCAGAACTCCTGCTGCTAATGGCATTGACCCTCTTCTCCACATTCTCTGTTCCAAAGCCAATGCCCAAACCCAGGCCAGCCTGTCCAACACCCACTGCCCCACCATTAACCCAGTTGGCTGGTGCATAGGGGCTGTGCCATGCACAAAGGGGAAGCTACGTCTACAATCCACAGCAAGTCAAACTGACTTTTGCTTTCTTTGTCGCTGTTCCTTTTTACTCATATAAACAAGTGAACACAATTCTTTCCCTTCACTCATCCTTACTTTAGAATGTCTCTTAGACCACCCTAAAAATTGTTATAAGCCTTAAATTATGTTAAGTAGGGGGAGTTTGGGATCAATATACACGAGATTACGGCTTGCCAGTTTCTCTTCTCTCTCACACGTGTGCACTCAACACACACTCACACACACTCACACGCACCTAGGCACAACCTCACACCCCAGCCTCCAGTTGAACTGGACTAAGCGCAGGGCCAGGTCTCACCTGCTTCTTCACATGGGCAATCTCCCCTTTCAGCCTCTGGATCACACGGTTCAGCTCGCTGATCTCCGTCTTGATCTCTCGCAGGCTGTCTCCGTGTTTCCCAGCAGTGACCTGGAGCTCTTCATACTGATGCGGGGAGAAGAGGACAGTTCACAAAGAGGTTACAGCCTGGTCCAAGTTCCAGCTTGACTGGAGCTGAGGAAAGGCTGATCACTGGTCCAAGGAGGGCCAACCAGTCTGGATGTCATAGCCATGCTCGTGGAGGTGGGGACCCTTTCATGTCCCCAGAAGGACTTGGTGCCATTCTTGACACTCTTTCTTGGGAATGGTGCCCAACTTCCATTAGACAAAAGCACCAAGAATCTACTGTACACTTCCCGGCCGGGGGCGGGCCCCAGCTTGTCGTACGGAGCCACACTCCCTATGCTGCCAGGACTTGCCTTGCTGTGATACAGCGCCTCAGCCTCCGTTTTGCTCTTCTGGGCAATGTCCTCATATTGGGCACGGACCTCATCGATGATGCCGTTCAGGTCCAGGTTGCGGTTGTTGTCCATGGAGAGGATGACGTTGGTGTCGGTGATAGTCTGTTGCCTCTGGGACAGCTCCTACGACACAAAGGGAGGTCTGGCTGTGACTTCCCTGCCCACAGCCACAGGCAGCGAGACGGCCCTGCTCCCCTGTGGTAGGGAAGTGCAGACTTCAGACTAAGCATACTCTGAGCGGGATCGAAATAGTAGCCACTATTCCTAGGCCTCTCCCAGGGTTGTGCTGAGAATTGTGGGTAGAGATGCCTGTATTTCTGGAGGCCCCTAGTTAACAGCCTCCATCACTTAGGCCAATTAGGACAAGTGCCCCCAGAAGGAAGCCAGTCCGTGCCAAATACATTTAGTTTACTTCAAGTTTCAGAAATCGTGCCTGTGCCCTGGGTGGGGGAGGGGCGATCAGAGCCGCAGTGCATTCTTACCTCTGAAGTATATTGGGCACAGGACAGGTCTCTTCCCAAGGGGAGCTGGACATTTAGGGGGTGGAGGGAGGGGTAGTTGTCCTGAATCTTACTTCCTATGACATCAGAGAAGAAAATTTCTCTCCCCCAGACTTATGCTATAAACCGCCCCCCTGCAACCCCGGGGCATGGAATGACAGCAAGGTGAAGTCAGTCAGTTCATAAGCCCCATTCCTATCACCTTTTAACCAACTGGGAAGGACTTTCCTTTGATTATAAAGGTTGAGAAGTAGGGGTCTGTCCAGGAGCAGCCTCCTTACCGCGTCGAAGAGGATTTTCAGGAACTCAAGGTCCTGGTTCTGCACATCCACCTTGGCCTGCAGCTCCACCTTTGTTATGTAAGCATTGTCCACATCCTGCAGGCAAAATCAAGGGCCTTTAGTGAAACTCACACTCCCCTTACCCAGCCCTTGCACGGATCCCTATATGGACCCCACCTGCTCTCTGCCACTCTCCTCCACCCCATCCCTGTTAGCTGCTCTCCAATATCCCAGGCACCTCCAGGTGAACCATTTGACGGGCCATTCATCACACACCTCTGCCAGTGACTCCATGCCCCCATCGCTGCTCACACCCCCGCGCCCAGGACCATCAGTGCTTGGATTGGACCATGCTTTGCCAACCAGTCTCTCCCTCCTACTTGAGACACAGTGTGTTCCCACAATGGGGTACAGTGTTCTCTGTGGGCTTCCACAGTCCTCAACTCTCATCCTCTTTGTCCATCCCACCTCTCCTGAATTTCCCTGGATTATCCACCAAAGACCCCAGAGGACCCAGGGTGAGGACCTGTACTTTTGGCCTTCTAGTTCAAATCTTTGTCAGCACAACCCACAGCAATTTTAAGCAGGCATTCTAAGGAAAGTCCCATTCCTTCCTTAGCTCTTTAGAAGAATAAAGTGCTTTCTGTGTTTGCATTTATCATGATCTAATATAGGCTTTAAGTAGGTTATTGCTGGGAAGTGCTCTATCAAAAATGCAGAACATTTTTGGAAACTACCCAGAAGCATGAACTGCATAGACATTTTTGTTTCTAAGAGAACAGGCCATAGACACGTCCCACCGCTTTCTCTAGCCACTGCTGTTTGTGCTCAGAGTTGCTTTCCAGCCTGTGTGTTCAGACACGAGAGACCGTGAAGCACCCTTCTCCCTACCCCCAGCCACGACATTCTCTTGCTCACCTTTTTAAGTGTCACGAAGTCATTCTCAGCGGCTGTGCGCTTGTTGATTTCATCCTCATACCTGTTGGGACCCAGACGATAGGCAGTCAGATTACTTCCAGTTTGTTTGTTTTTCTTTTCCTTTTCCTACTGGATTCACCCAAAATGCCCCATTCTCTAGGAATATGAAACACTACTTAAATGTCTAAATTGAAGCTATGATATCCCACATGAGGATAAATTTCTATAAACTAACTCTCAAACAGGTAAAAAATATGATCTCTAAAACTCTGACGTCTTCCTCACAAATAATCCACAAAGATCCAGGCGCCTCTCCCCTTTATCACCACAAATGCAACTGGGGGATGAGTGGCTTTTGGGCAATGACTGGATGGTTCAGTTCAAAATTTATCTCCACTCAGCATTTACTCTGCCACCTACTTCTTCCTAAAATCCTCCACAAGATCCTGCATGTTGTTCAGCTCTGAATCCTGCGATGTTCTTTCCGCAGAGAGCCTATCCACGTATCTCTTGAGATCCTCAATGTACGCCTGGAAGATGGGGTCCAGGTTGGTGGTGCGGGTGCCAACATCCAACTGCTGCAGCAGCTCCCATTTGGTGCGCAGCACCTGGTTCTGCTGCTCCAGGAACCGCACCTGCCGTGACCAGAAGGAGAGCACGTAAGCTCTAGGTCATCCTTCACGCCAGCAAGCCATGCTCGCCACAGGCAGCTCCGGTGCTGCTTTGGGACCTAGAGAAGCCTGCGAGGCTTCATCCTCACCAGCTGGGTGCCAGATCATGCCAGGCAGAGCTCCCGAGCTCCCTGCCTGCACATTTGGAAAGTCCTGCAGACTCCTAATGCTCCATCTGGCCCTCTTCACACAGGGAACTCTCTCTCTTACTTCACCATCCACTGTTCTGTTTTCAGCTGCTCCCAGGACCCCAGGCCATGTCCCTCCCCATCTTGGTTGAATTTTGGGCAAAGGTCCCATAAATTCTGGGGAAAACCAAAAGCAGGCATCCTGGCACTGCTCCCGAGGGTACTGAATATGAGAGTACTGGAGGGCTGGGCTCCTCACCCTGGTTTTAAGAGCCTTGTAAATTCCTGCCTGTTTCAAGGCAGACAAACCAAGACAGGTTTGTCTGCCTTGAAACAGGAGAGAACCCAGTAACACTTCAAAGTGACACCAGTAAAGACTTTATGGATCACAAAACTGAGAATCCTTCTCTTGAAGGCAGGAATTTTATTCACTCCCAAGCAGATATTTTGGCTAATGGAGTACTAACTTCTAGGGAAGGAAAGACTACTTCAGAAGGTGTCTTACAAACCTGCTGTCCCATGGCCTGAACTAGTCAGTCCAATTCTTACCTATATCAATTTTTCTATGATTTTCAGAATTTTCTATAAATATTATTTATTTAGACCACAAGAATAAAGCCAAAGAGACAAATAATTCCTAAATGCAAACTGTTACAGAAAATGCACAAAGTTGGCATCTTTCCCATTTGGAAATTACGAATATTAATAACCCAGGCTACTAAGGCTACACCAATGGCTCCTAAAGGAAACGAATCTGTGCCATCTTCTTTTCAGTTAGCACTGGAAATGAGGCATCCCGAGCATCAGCAGACTCACCTTGTCGATGAAGGAGGCAAATTTGTTGTTGAGAGTTTTGATCTGTTCCCGCTCCTGAGACTTTACATTCTGGATCTCTGGGTCGACTTTCACGTTGAGAGGCTGCAGGAGGCTCTCGTTGACAGAGACTTCATGGATGCCTCCACCAGGGTATCCTCCAGGCCTGGAGCCACCAGGACCCCCAAAACCTCCAAAGCCACCGCCACCTCCAAAGCGGCCTCCCCCAAAGCCACTTCCACCAAAACCGCCGCCTCCGAAGCCACTGCCGCCTCCGAAGCCGCTGCCTCCTCCAAAGCCGCTGCCTCCTCCAAAGCCGCTGCCACCTCCAAAGCCAATGCCGCCTCCAAAACCACCTCCTCTGCCACCAAATCCACCACTGGAGCCAAAGCTTCCACCTCCTCTAGCCACACTAATGGAGATGCTCTTGGTCCCTCCAAGGCCAACAAGACTTCGACTGCCAAAGCCGCCTCCACCGAAGCCCCCTCCGCCACCGCCATGGCGGCTCAAGCAGGAGAAGCTGGAAGTCGATCTCCGGCTCCCACCAGAGACCACAGCTGAGCCACTGCTGAAGCCCCGGAATCCTCCACCTCCTCCTCCTCTTCCTCGAGATTTGCAGGAGATCTGACAACTCATGATGCCTTTGCCCAGTGTGGGAAGTCGAAGGTTCCTGAGAAGAGTCAAGGCTGGAGAATCAACTCTGCTGCTGGGAGAGTGTCAGGGTCCCCTTATGTACTGGCCAACTAGGTGTTGGTGTGCATGGGTGTGGGCCCATTTATGCATGGGTTTGGTCTGCCTGGAAGGTATTCCTAGCGAGTGATTATCAAGCTAAAAGCCATTAAAATTCTACTAATCAGCTCCATCCCAGAACTTGCTTTGATTGCAAACTTCTGTTTATCTGGGCATCTGTCACGCAATTTGATTTTTGTAAAATCATCAAGAGGAGATTAGGATTTGGTTTTCTCAATCTGAAAAAAGACCTTCCGCAAAATGCTGCTCCTTGTTCTGGACCGATCCAAGAGAGGTTGGCCACCACCTGAGCCTGTGCAGGCTTGCCGTCCTGGTTCAACAACGAAAGAGATCACAGGTTAAGGATGTCAGAGCCCCTCAGCAACTGCCTTATAGCTCTTCTCACTTTTCCCTCTGCCCCAGGAAGAGTTTCAACAAGTGCAGGGGGACATTGCAGATGTGGGGAGATGGGCATCCTCTTACAGAAAGAAGCTGGCCTAGGATGCTGCAAAAGGGTTGTCATTTTTTAAAGTATCTTGGCTCTTTTCTTCCCAGGCCACACCAGAAATATGCAATAACCAAGCATTGAGTAGAGAACTTTCTTTCTTATAACCAGAAGTTTTTCTAACCATCAACTCTGTCATTTTTCTACATGAAAACCCAGAGGATGGGGGCTTAAGGAAAGTTTCTCTGCTCCTTGATCTGTGTGACTCAGGGCACCCAAGGACAGGTTGCAGGCAAAGTCTTTACACAACTCCAAGATCCAAGGATATATTGATTTGGTCAGTGTGTACTCACCTACTGCCAGGCGATTCTGTGACGCGGTTAGGAAGCCAGGCTCTTCAATGACATCCAGAGACGGAGGAACATCAGAAGACCCAGCCAGGCTGGCGAGAGTCACCAAACGCACAGAGCACTCGCTCCTAAACTCAACCACAGTCTTCCCTTTGTCCATGTGGCTAAGCATGTGGGAAAGGCACTTTGAAGTGAGAGAACTGAATTTAACATCAGAGGTTCTGGGTTCGAGTCCCAGTTTTGCTATTTATTGGCTGTGTGACCTCAAATTAAACTGAGGTTTTATAGTCTTAGCGATAAAATGGGACACATGAAGTGTGTTGAAAACCATGACGCACAATACAAATGTTAGTATCATTATTGTTTGGGAGGAGACAAAGGTCTCTCCTTTCCCTTTCACTTTTGGCATGTTATTCTCTCTCCTAAGGACTATGACCATGCACTCCACACGGGCACCATTAATTACAAAACCAGGATATTCTGATCCTAATGCAAAGTTAGCATCAAATAATATAAAAAACACAAGATTTGAATTGAAGTCCCAATTTCATTGTATTTTAGTTAAATGACCTTGAATAATTTGAGTCTCAGTTTCCTCATGTTTAAAAACGGAATAAGAATAAAAAGAATATGGCTGTTGTGCAAACAGAACTATATAATATGCACATGTACTAAACATAGTTCCTAGTCCACAGCAGAAACTCAATAAATGTCATTTACCTTCCTGCACCCATCCTCGCCAAGTTTCCCATCCTATGCCTTAGCTAAGTGGCAGGGGTAGGTATGGGGGTAAAGAATAGGAAACTCGTTAAGATATTTGATTTGCAGTAAAAAAAAAAAAAAAAAAAATGCTGAGGGAAGCAAATCCCTGTGTCTCCTGATTTTTTTCCCCTATCTGCTTACATGATTATGATCATGCAAACAAATCACAAAGCTAAAAGCTTTGGAAAGAGTCTCCGTCCAAAGCCAAATGTGTCATTATCTGTGGGTATCTGAGCAACACCCTATTGTCCATTACTCCCCTGTGACTGTGCCGAGGCCGTGCCAGCGTCCCAGGGTCTTAATCCCTCTGCAAAGGAAAAAAGCAAACATTTATTGAACAGCTGCCACATCCCAGGTTTGTGCCAGGACTCGATCTGCGTGTTTTACTGCATTTTAGTTCTACTGTCACACGTGGTGTCCCTCTCCACTGAACATCTTCCCTTTCTAGACCCATTTGCCTGTTTGTGAAAGTCAAGGTGAAGGAGAGTCCTCCTACTGTCTGGAAATGTGGAGGGTAGAACTAACGCAACTTGGATATTATGGGACATATTTATTTCCATTTTTTTTAATTTCACCTTTTACATAATCTCAACATGCTATTCTAGATCATGTGCTTCGCATTCTTTAAGGGAGTGAAATGGCAGTTAAGAATCTTGGCTTGGCTGTGACTTTGCCACTGACCTTCACCGTGGTCTTCAATTTCTTCATCTATAAAATGGAAACATTTACTCTGAATCCTCAGTGTCCCACAAGGACATTGACCTGCCGGTGTAAAGGGTTTTAAGCTTTGCTGTCTCTGAAACCAGAGCAGGGATCCTGTAGAACAAAGTCCTTCTCATGTTCCCCACGTTTTCTCTTGGCAAGCTGCCAGCAAGCCCAAGATCCTAAATGCTTTTCCTCATAGGTTTTCAAAAGCACATCCATGGCCAATTGGGCAGAAAAATGAGCCCCCAAGGTTAAGCAGAGAAGGGGTTAACTGTTTAGCCAATGGGAAATAAATTAAACCCTCAACCAAATGTGGATGCTAATGCCAGATTCCCAGTTTCGGGTCAGTTTCCTCCCTCCTGTACTGCCTACCTCCCTGCAGCCTCATCTCACAGTCCTTCCTATGCTGCAATGAGCCATGTCCCCAGACTTCTACAGGGCAGAATCAGGGTCACATTTATCCTTACCCCAATCCCCCTTCCCCTCAGCACAGAGTGGTTACTCAGGGAATGAGCCTACGTTCCAAAAATCATTTCTGTTTTTCTTGGTTTGGAATTGCAGGTTTTTCCAGATGTGTGGATGTGATGTTAGCGATGCCCTTAGTCTTTGCAGCCTTTTATGTGCCTGTTCCCTTAAGATCCCACTCAGAGAGTTATCTCAGGTTTCTGTCCCTGTCTCAGGTTTCTGTCCCACCCCATCAGGGCTCTCTCCTCAGCCCACTGAGGTTAGCCTCCCCTTCCCAAAGACTCAACGCACAAGCTGGGCAGAGCTGCCATGTGGCTCATGCTGCCATGGAATGGAAACCAAGAGTTTGGGTTTAAAAAACAAAAACAAAACAAACAAACCAAAAACCCTCCTCTTCCAGTCCCTGCTGCTGGGCTTAGGCTGCTCAAGGGGCCCAAATCCACAGGGGGCCCAAAAATGTCAAGAAAGAAGTTCAGAAAACAGAGGAGCTGGGGACAGGCTGTCCAGCAGCTCAGCCCGAAGCAGAAGCCCTGAGAGGCAGCTGGTGCCCGGCCTGTGCACGGGCCTTTGTATGGCTGGCTGACTCCCGTGCCTTCTGTGGGAGTGCCAAGGTGCTGCTCCAAAGAGCTCCGCAGCCCTAGTGGCGCCCACAGAAGGAGAGACAAGAAGCTTACAGGCTCCCAGCAGGAGCACCTTGCTCAACATGTCCCTCCAGGGCATTTCTTTGTAAATGATTATTTTAAAACTGCTTACTAAGTCTATAGTCCCAGCCCCTGACCCAGTTCTCCATCTCAGCCCAAGCTACCCTCCTTTCTTACCTAACATCTCCATTTTATTGGCTTTTTTTTTCAGTCGACCCCTTTTTTTACAGCGAGGCCTGTGGCTGTTGATTTGATGTGCCCTGGCCAAACTGGTTGGGACTGCGAAGCCAGGCTGGTAGGCAGCCAGGTCCACTCTCAGCACGAAGCACTGAAAGTTCCCACCGTGCAGAACCCCGTTCTGGAATGAGGTGATTCCAGAACATACACACCAGGCTTATCGGGAAAGCAGGGTGTGGCCACTGCCGAGAAGCAGTGCAGACCCCAGAAGCAGGGGAGGGGTGAAGGCAGGGCCTCAGGCCCCACGCAGGGCAGGGGCTCAGTGCATGTGGGTGGTACTAACCCAGCAACCCAGCAAGAGGTGATGAGCAAATCGATGCAGGGAGACTCCCACACAGTGCCTGGCACATAGCAGGTACTTGACAAATGCCATTTCCTTTCCCATTGCCATGGCCATCAATGTCACATGCAGTTCTAAGTTTCTAACTGAGCCCCAGAAGATCTGACCCAGAAAATGGAAAGTTACCCATTCTAGCTTTCGTTCTCATTGGGATCGTTCTCCAACTGAATTAGCTCAGTGTCATGTCAGGGACTACACAACTGCTGTCTAGTTAATGATACCTCTGTGACTTGTGCCTGTGTGTCTCCACCTACGATGTGTCTTCATTCACTCAGAGACGGCCACTAAGGGGACCTCCATGAAAAGCTCTTGCTGTTCACAGCCCTAACCCTCATTCCAGCCAAATGGCTTCCCTGGGCACAGCTGTCAAATATTCCGTCCCCTCCTGGTTGTGATTTCAGAAAGATGCAGTCGCCGTGACTATACTACTCACTCTTCCCTCATAGTGCAGGGCCTTCTCCAGGTTTCGCCAGATTTAATGGTGTCCCCTTCTCATGCAGCCCCTCAGCCTTGGGGAGCCTTCCTGCCAGTTCCACATTGCACTGCTGCCACTGACAGCTGCCATTCGCCTTCAGTGCTTCTCTAGGACACCCGACATTTCTCCAGCAGCAGCCTGTGCCGGGCACACGGGGAGCCCTGTCAGCATACCCCCCCACCCTGCCTCGCACCCAGCCCCTTCCTCGCCCTCCCCTCCACTTGGAGCTGACCCACGCCCTTGCGAGCCCTTGAACTTCTTTTGAGGCTTCCTGTGTTGGGTGGGCTAGGGATAATCGTAGCAGGAGGAAGGTGGGGCAACATCCCCCACAACGAGAGAGAGAGAATAATCATGAAAACAAATTGAATTTTAGGAGACCAGATTCAAGAGAGTCCTGCTCCTCAGTCCAGCAATCACGTTCTCAGAGCCACTTTCAGACCTGTGGGCGCTGGGCTTCCCTGGAAGGAACAGCCAAGGCTTGATTCGG